CTGAGAAGACGATAGGCTTGATTGTATCAAATTTATATTTCTATACTATTGCATTGTATCTATTGATCTCTGGTCAGCACAAAGCAGACATTCTTTTTTTACCAACAATCTGTTTAGTTCCTGTCCAAATTAATTTCCCCTAAAACAAATTCAAATTAAAATCTGCTATTCTCATAATAATTAGCACGCAGATGGTTTATGCTGATGCATACAAAACGTATCTTCGGCACTCATCCTCAGTCTTTTTTTGTTGCATCCACATGTATACTCCCTAATTCCTTGATGAAGCAAACTTGGTAATCAATCCTTTATCTATCGCAACGTGCAAATCGTTTTGCTACTTTTTTTCGTTTTCACGACCGAATTACTATTATAAGCATTGCACACCATCTATAATGATAAATTTCACAATCCGTTGTCCTCATTGCAAACAGATTTATCGATATGAAACCCGCAAAAAACGTAATTTGTTGGATTGAAATGCCGGCAGTAGAACGCTTTGATGGAAAATTGCAGTGTGCACAAATGTCGAGTATTTTCAGAAATGCAGTCTGCCCTGGTTGTACCGTTTTTAATGGTTGCGGTGTTTGCAATTGAGTTGGTATGTTTCTGTCATAATTGTGAACACATTTTTGGCTGATCAATGCAGCATTTTGGATTCCTTGTTGAGTCCCGCAGTTACAGAAGAAGTGACCGATAGCGAAGGTCGCAAATACGATCATGTTTGAAGTTTCGAGTGTTCGCTGTCAGAAAAAAAAAAGAGGGCTTCTTGGAAAATTCACGGCTCTAGTTTTTGGTTACTGCAAATTTAGGAAGAACTTAGTACAATCTTAAGAATTTGTACTATGAGTCATGGAAAAACTTCGAGTGAAATCGTCTGAGAAGAATCAGCCGTCCGTTTTATATTTTTTAAATGAAGTAACCAAAATTTCAAAAGGCTATGAATACGGCTAAAGCATCTGCTTTACAATTTGAACTGGAAACGTCACGAATTCCAGGATCCATCGTCACTCGGTTTCATCAGGGAATTTGATCAACGGCTCACAAAATCATCAGCACCATACCACAGTAACAAAACTCATCTATCGAACGAAAACAGTCGATTTCGGCAACGATCTGTGCTGAAGCTGATCGATCTGTTAAGACTGAACGTTCTAGCACATGGAAGGAATGCGTCGAGTCATCCACAGCGAGAAGCACTGTTTTTGGGCATGCGTGGATAGCAGCAGTCAGACTGACGAAATCTTGAAATCTTATTGAGATTCGTAACTGAAAGATTCTTTCATCACACTGTACTGGTAATCCCCAAGTGACGTGTATTAGCAATCTTCGGAATTCGGGCACATTTCAATCAATGACATTTGCTGATCAACAGTGATTGCTAGTGATAAACTTTCAGCACTATCGCAATTTTGGATTGCTCCTATTCCGTTGTATTTTCTTGAGTGCAACGCTAATCGTAAATTAATTTTTCAAATTTGATGCTTCACAGGAAGCAACAGGTATCTAAGCAACTTTTCACATGCCATCCTTAATAAAGGTGTATAAAAAACGTGCATATCCGACAAGTTGACCTTTACATTCCTGTCTGAACTATCCCTCGATTAATATCAGTCATTCCATCCAATCCACGAGAACGCTATTGAAAAGGAAGACTCGAGAATGGCACGAAATCGCTATTGAAATTGCGAGTTTAATTGATCATTTCAACGGGGATCGATCAAATAGTATGCAAAATAACGAACAGGTGTTGTCCAATTGGTGAAATATACTTGTTCAGAAATGCTTCTTAAAATTCCTCACAATTCCTCCATGCATAACGTCATTTACATTCGAATGATGGAGGTTCTGCAGCAGATGATGATGGTGTTTTTATGCCTCACATCGCATCAGAATAAACAAACAAACGAGCTAAGTGTCATTCATAATGTCGCAGAGTGACCATTTTTTTTCATTGTTATTTCGTCGATGCTATTATTTCTCCGGTTTCCACTAACAAGATAACAGCAATTTTCTTTACAAAACCAAAATTCAGCTTCTCAGACCAACTTCGAACGAATTTCTGTAAAACATTCCCTCCAAAGTGACCATAAATGGTGACCATTTCAATAAAAAGCACCTTCAATCTGAATTGTGGATGTGAATACAACCTGAAAGCGGGGCAATTCTTACAAGCCTGAAGACTACTCGAGAAACTGATTCTTTTTATGTGGCCAACTAGTTTTATTTTAGATAGTTTAACAACATAACGTGTTCATAGATCAATCCAATTTACCAGTGATGAACTCTCATTAAGCAATTCCGGTGCTGTATCATGGAACTTTGCAAACAAATAAAAATCTCGGAAAATTCCTCAAAATTACATCAAATCAAGAGTGGCACAAGAATGGCAGATAATATTTAGATATTATAATCTATCAAAGAAATCAAAATCCGCTGGAAAATTTTTCGAAGAGCAATTTGTTCAAGTGGTACAGTTTAGTACTGGTTTGATTTTTTTNTTTTTTTGCGTGGATTGTAACTGCGATGAACGATCGTCAGTCAACAGGTGCTGGTTGTTGGGAATGCATCGAGGTGATATTTGTTACGAACATAGTCATGACGATACACCTTTCGAAAGTGCTGAAAATACTCTTACGAAAAGCTGTCGAAAAGACGACAAATCAACTTAATGTGAAAAAGCTCTACTAACTGAGAACGTAGTGATGAGCAAACGAAACGGCTAGCAGTGACAAGTTGCTCCAAATATAAGTTGATGAAATATCGAATTCTTTAGCAACAACAATCCATAAAAAGTGTCCTTCTCTGAACAGTTCTCATCAATCAACAATTGTTTATGTTTACTCCGTCTTTTTTCATTCAATTCGCCATCAATTTCAATATCACACCACTTGATCGTACCACAAACGTCTCAAAGCAGTCATAAGACACCTTCAATGGGCGAAACCAGTTCAGTTTACGAACGAATCTCGTTTAATTGGTTTTCTTGATTCAGCATTGTTGACTCCACTTGTCACCGCTGCTTTGCTTAATGCAACAGTTTTCATTCAGTGCTACATCTTTCACGAATCATCTTTGTTGGCATCGACATTATCATTCAGGGAATCATTTCAGCAGATAGAAGGACCATATTTTCATCGATATCCAGCTGTTGTGCAGTTCATGTCAAATGACTTCTTCAGGGTGCATTCATTTTTACCTCATTTTAGTCTGCTTTTGAACGAAGAACTTCTTGTCGAAGACTTTCATCGCAAGTGATCAATTTTTGGAACGAAGCTTTTTCGACGGACATTCCGAATAGTGTCTGCATGGAGTCTTGGGATCCCGACATTTGAATCCTGATCCTGGGATTTATCTTCTGAAAAATCCAGCGACTTCGAGACTCAATAGAAAATGGCACTCTAGAACATGGCATTCATTAGCAAACTCATCTTGAATTACCCACCAATCATTCCCCGGTTCATTCATATTCACAATTTCAATGAGTGCAAACTTAATTGAATTTTCAGAAGAAAATTTTAACGAGACACCTTGTGGTGTTTTCTTTTATTTCATATCTAATTGTAAGTGCAAACGATGAAATAAATTTATTCACAGGAAAACATTAAATAATGATACCCAAAATTCAATTATGAGTTATACTTGGATTCTATTTCTGTTGTAATGTTGATACTTTGTTTCCAGACTATGGATTACTTTCCAAATAATTCTGAATGCATTGATCCAAACAAAATACGTTAAACACGTGACATTTTTGAAGTTCTGAAGTCGCTGAATGTCCAGATTATAAAAGGATAGAAAACTGATTCCAGGATTGTAGAATGATCGGAATACTGCGATCGTAAATTCGCGATGGTGGTTGTAAGTTACAACTGAATAAGATGACTTGTTACTGCATCCATGAAATTTTGTTACTTCATTTTTTCATTGTATTCATTTCTTATTCGGATTAAATCTGTTTGATGCATCTTCTGAACTGCGAAAGTTCAGTTACATACTGTTATTGTCTTCTTCATTTAAAACATCTAACCTCAATTCTCAACTCTCCATCAAACCGAATTCATCAACAATGGACAGATGACCTCTATCATTCATATTCCGTTTAATCATCAACCTCCAAATCAACAAACTCTCTTCATTCTTTCGCTTTGTTATGCGCCTAAATGTGCGCTAATTTTGGTTTGCTTTTATGTGAATTGTCTTTTCAAATGCATTATTTACTCGATTCAGTCACGTTGTTACGCAGGCGCTTGCATTTTCTCATCATTGTAATGGTTGTATGGTCAACCGCGTCGATGAAAGTCGAATATTTCCCAAACCTGTCGTTCTCAAGTACTAAATTTAGCAAAAAAAGGTTTTTATTAATACACCTCAAAATTGTTTGACTGAAGAAATATCGTGCCTTCCACGTCCAAATTCTGCAACGACAAACGTGAGTGGGATACTAACTGATTAATTCAATTTCGAAAAGTATTTTCAATACTTTGAAGTATTAATGCTTTGATATTAATCAGTTTTCTAATATTTGGCTTAAAGACGGCAAATGAACGGAGAGGCGGCGGTACCCCAGGCTCATTAGACAAGTTTTCTAATCATAAGCAATACACCAGTGCCTTCTCAGATATTCATCATTAATCATTCACCCACATATTTTCAGCACATAACATTCCAACATCAGAAATCAAAAGTTTCACTCTGATTCCGATAAAATCTCATTGTCAGCGTTCTATGTTGACATCAAAGTGTCATAGCACTTTGACCACCGAAATTTTTGATTGATAACTGTTCTTTGAGTGTCACCAACGCAAGCAGCATTCCATTCGAAGTACAAAATCAAACATAAGCGCATAAAATACAGCCGAAAAAAACCATCCGAAAGACGTCAGAGCAACAATGCTTGTTATGTGACGTCTAATGAAACTATGCAATATCTCGAATGCAACTCTCTCCGCGCTCAGCACGTCAGTCCATTATCCATAACCGGATCTTTCACGAGCAATGAACAAATCCTGATAGCCCTTGCAAATGAATGCATGATAAATGAGTGCCTCAAAATTAAATCGTGAATGATTTTCTATCGATTAAGTTCGCAGTGTTGTTCTCTATCACTTACATCAACGCGTAATCTCTTGATACAATTGTTTCATTTAGAGAAGTGCTCATTCTATAGTTCGAATGATTTCGCATTGAACCAGATAACGTGATGCTCCATGAGAATAAACGCCTCCTGCATAACAATGAAGATTTTTTTTTGAAAATAATTAAAACACATACCAGATTTGAATTATTTGCATCGATCACTTGATCCATGCATCGATAATTCTCAATTCGTAAACAATAAAACATTCATAAATTGATCAGTTGACCTGGATGCACCAATTCTGAAAGCAAACGACTCACGCTTAGTTCGATGTGGTAAAATTCGATCGAAAGATCACAAGGAAATGGTTCCGGCGAAACCAGGATTTTGTGGAAGATGACTCTTGATTTCCGAGACGCGTCTACTTTTGAGAATGTGCAAGTCTACACTAGTGAATCAATGCGTTTATTCGGGATTGCTTTTCCAACATAGGATTTCACACAATATTCACCTATATTTCAAACAAGAAAAGGAAATTCATTGCTGAACGAACAACTTCCTCTGGATCTTTTTTCGATAACTTTTTTTCCGTGTTAAAAAACTCTATTTCATCATTTTTTGTTGATGACTTCTGAATCACTCGGACATATTTAATAAGACTATGACGTTGTGAATGATTATTGCCTTGTTCATTTCGTAATCGGATATTCCATCAGCGAAATTTGTTCTTTCCACTTATAAGTTCGATTTATTAATTCAAATGAATGAAAGGGTTAATAGAGGTCATTCATCTGTCCTTCTTCTTTTACATTCTACTAGATTTAAGAAAATTTCAAGCATACGCTTCCGAGCATTCAAATTTTCGTGGTTCCTCTCATTTTCAGCACGCATTCGTTCTTCAATTCCACTTTTAAATCGACCGACGTTTCTCCAGACGCATTTGAACTGAGTAAATAATGAG